TCTAATAAATACTTTGAACCATTGAATCTGGGTTGGTCCAATTCAGTAGGTCTTATTGGTCCATCCAATATGTTTAAATTGATTTTGATTTGAACGGTCCACCCCAAAACCAGTCCATTGACACCCCTACTTGCATAGCTACGTTAGAATGGCAGGATCTTACATTCCACTTTGGATCTGTTGGTTATGTACAACCGCAGGATGTACATTCCACTTTGGATCTGTTGGTTATGTACAACCGCAGGATGTATTACTAGATCCTAATGGGAACTGGGAAGATGCCTCCAAAGTCCAAACATTCAAGTACAGACTGTCTTGTGAAGAATAAGACTTCTGTATTTACATGCTATGCTTGAAGGTGCATTCTTATTGAGGATTCAGCGGGCTATGAATGGGTTGGGTCTACTCAATGAACCCAAACTAACTAAACCAATTATAATGGTTCTGATACCGTGATTTTGTCCTAATTAATAATTGGGTCGGTTTCGACTTCAAACATATAACCAATTATTTTATTAAATATATATGTTATTTTCTTATATTTTTTATCATATTTGATGTTTGAAATGGTAAATTTGATAGATACCAAAGTAACAAAATACGGTTATATTAGTTAAAAATATTTAATTTATTAACACACAAATAATTTAGTATTTTTTCTATCATTTTTATTAAGGTTATATTATCAAAATTTAAATTTTAAGTTATTATTTAAATACACAAATATAGCTTTCAATTTAATTGAGTCTATCGGGTAGATGGTTTTGGGTTTGTAATTTTGTTTTGATTAATAATTGGTTCAAGACTAGTTCTACCTAGACCCAACTCAGGCTCAACTCGTTGATAGCCCTTCCTAGCACCTTATCCCAACGATATGGGATTGGCTACATAAATCTTGTTTTGTCAATCAGATCTATCTAAAGCCATATCCGTTGTTAAATTAATAGTGCTTAAATCATTTGTTATTACTTCCACCCATGTCTTTTTTGTTTTTGGTCTACCTCAAACTCTTCTAGCCCCTACAATGTATAACAAATTAGTTTTTCTACATCATGCAATTGGTGGTTTTCTCTGCATGTGCCCAAACCATCTTAATCTATTCTCTCTCAGTTTATCACCTATTAGAGTTACCTAAGTTCCATGAATGACTTCGTTCGTAATCATGTCCTTTTTAATTTTTTCGTTCATCCATCTTAACATTTGCATTTATGCCACATTCAGTTTACGGACATATTGTTTCTTGACTACCAGCACTCCATTCCATACAACATATCTAGCTCTAAAGATGTTTTGTAGAATTTTCTTTTTAATCTAAGTGGTATCTATTTTGCCCATCTGCTAATTCTTTGGGTGACTTCCTCCTCAATTTCAATCTGAAGAGCTATCTCTTGATTTCCAATCTATCTTGATTTACCTTCCTATTATTACTAAGTTTATATATCACTAGTAGGGCGCCATGCGATGCACGGGATGTGGCACCCCTTGCTCATGTAGTTAAGACACTCTACCCCATCCCCACCCCGTCCCTAGTGGTGGGGCGGGTAGGAGGTAAGGCACCCATTCCCCATCATGGATGAGGAATCCCCAAATTTTTCCCACCCCGAGGCAACCACCTAAAAATAATCTAATTGGTGGATATTTTACAAATAGAATTATGGAAATTTGGAGTATTTTAGGAATTTGATTATGACAATTTCGATGTATTTTATAAATGGAATTGTGGGATCCTAGGATTATAAGAGTATGAGGAAAAACTTGGAAATGTTTTAAGATTCAATATTAAATCTACTGATATTTTACTAATTTACCATCGGGTTTGGGGAATTATATGCTAACACCGCCCCTTCCCTCTCTCTTCCTCACCAATATTTAAGATTCAAGAAAACATGCCCTGTTCGGGATGGAGCAAGGTATTATTTATGTTTTATATACTAATTTTAAATAAACTTTAAATATTTTCAATATAAAAAATGAATTCTAAATCATATTTTAAACATTATTTAACAAACAATTTCTACATTTCTATTTCTATTAGTGAGTGGTTAGTGGGGTTTTGTGTTAGTCATTAATGCTCTTTATATTTTATCCTAATTTTTATCCAATTTCTATTATTAATGAAAATAATTCTCATTAATCACATTTTTTATATGACGAATAAATAATATTATAGAATGTACCCAAAATTATCTACAAATTTCTACATTTTCTAGAATTTTATGTATTTTATTATGTAATAATAACATCATGTGTTGATTCATTTGACATGAATAGTTGAACCACTAATCCACCACTTGGATGGAAAAACCATTTTTCCCCTTTTTTAGTTGATTTTAAATCATGTATTCCATTTTCATCATCAATAAAAGTAATTCTTATTTTTGCACGTGACAATATCAAATGATGATGATGATAATCAGTAACCAAATAACCTTACTGGTTGAACTGTTAGCCTACTTAAACCAGGAAAATGGACTATGATTAAGACAATTAATTTTTTCTTTGCATTTTCGCCAATTCTATCTTTACTAACAATAATCCTCATTTTTTCAAACATATTTTTGTTTAATATGAAGAATATATAATATTAATGTATGTTTAATTTTTTATAAAATTTATAAAAAAATCTATATTTTTTTATTATTTAATTTATGAGATAATAAAAATTACTTATTTACCAAAAGAAATGTAATTCCAATATATTGTTTGAACACTGATTTTTAATATTGTGGTCAAATCAATTATATATATATATATATATAACTTTTTAATGATGGAAATAGTTGAAAAAATACTTATAAAAAGAATTTGTTATTTTTTAAATTAAATCGGATCGTATCATATTCAAATATCTGACATCTTGATCGGATTCGAATTCGAATTCGAATTCAAATCAATATTTATGAGATACGGTCGAATCTTTTGGATCATATCAGATTTTGAATATACCCTGATTCAAATTTGATCTGATCTGTTTGCATCTCTACCAAACCACTTGTCTATGATGACCTAACTAATTAAATTATTGAACCATTTGGCATGATTAGTCGGGTCATGTGCTGGATTAATTCTCTTTATTTTTTTATACTAATTTTTATCCCATTTTTATCGTTTTTTTGATGAATAATCCCATTTCTATCGTTGATGAAAATAATTCTCATTAGTCACACTTTTTTATTTCATGAATATATAATATTATTATAGAATGTACCCAAAATTATCAACAAATTTCTACATTTTCTAGAATTTTATGTATTTTATTATTTAATAATAACATCACGTGTTGATCCATTTAACATGGATAATTGAACCACTAACCCACCACTTGGATGGAAAACACATTTTGCTTTTTTGGTTGATTTTAAATAATGTATTCCATTTTCTAGAATTTTATGTATTTTATTTGCACATTTATTTTTGTTTAATATGGTGAATATATAATAATAGAATTGTATCAAAATGCTTTATTTGCACATTTATTTTTGCACATACATACATATATTTAATATTCATTACTTAGTTATGACATTATAAATTGACCCATTTGACCCTGAATGTTAGATTATTGACCTACCTACCATGTAGATATGGAATCTGTTTCATTTCTGAATTGGTTTTAAATTTTGCATTTCATTTATATCATTGATAAAATAATTATTGTTTATACTTCTATTTTTTAAAATTTATTTTTAATTATACATCATGGGTTAACCTATTTGACCTGAAAGGTTGAACCACTAAAACCCACCCCTAGATAGGAAGGTGGTTTAATTTTCCATTGGTTTTAAGTTGTATATTTGATGTCCATCATTAATAAAATTATGTCTATTTTATCATACTTATTTTTAATATAATAAATATATAATAATAGAAATGTGTCCATTTTTTTAAATTTCTTTTTTTTTCTATACTTTTGTATTTTTTATATTTCTAAATTTGTATTATTTATTTATGACATCATGAAATTATCCATTTGACCCAAATGGTTAAAGTACTTACCCACCACCTATATAGAAAATATGATTTTAGTTCTAGGCTTATTTTAAAAATATAGAATTTGATTCTATTAATAATTATTGTGTATGGATTTATTAGTGGAATTTAATGATGATAAACAAAAGTATTTTTTATATTTCTAAATTTGTATTTATTTATGACATCATAAAATTATCCATTTGACCCAAATGGTTGAACTAATTACCCACCACTTAGATGAAAAATATGATTTTATTTCTATGTTTATTTTAAAAATATAAAATTTTATTATATTAATAATTATTGTATATGGATTTATTAGTAGAATTTAATGATGATAAACAAAAGTATAAATGTTGGATTCAATGAGAGAGAATGTAATTTATCTAATAAGATAGTTGAATGTACTTAATAATATTCTTTTACTTACATTTTCTACCCTTGAGATGAAATAAATTCAAGAAAAAGGATATTTTAATAATAAAAAATTCCATAAACCAATACCTCCTCATTCGCCATATATTCTTTTTTAGTTCTACTTATTTTAAAACCTAACCCTACGCAGCATAGGTTATAACAAGAAGAGTGGAATCGCCCCATCCAACGTGGAATAAAAACTATCAGCACTTACAGATGGGCTGCGTTGGACCCAGGCCAATCTTTTCGTTCCACCGGTTACAGGCCCAGGGCACTCCCAAAGCCCAAGCTTGATCCATACCCATAGCGAATCAATTATCAACGTGATCAAATGAACAGATGCGAAATCCACATAAACCCTCTAAAGTCCAAAACACGAACCCAGAGCCCTCATTCTATCGCTACATTTCTTGTAAGTATAGACAAATCTATGTAAAACAAAAAAAAGGAAAGTTCCACGTAAGAAAACACGAGACATCCAAATAGAGTCGTATTTATGCAGGTTTCCTAGTTTTTCCATTCAATCGTTTAACAGTACGTACAAAAAAAAAAAAGTTAGCTTGAACCTGTGATATGCGTTTCCATCTAAACAAAAACAGAACGCATGGGGATAGAAAGCTAAGAAAATTACCTTGCTTAATACCAAAAAGAATTAAGATTACAAAAAAAAAGTTAAGAAAATTTCCTTCTCTTCTCCCTCCAGAATACAAATTTTACTAAAAAGAAACTAAAAAAAAAGTCATCTGATTTTTTCCTTTTTTTTCTTCTTAATTCGATTGATCAAAAATCTAAAGAAGAGCAAGTAGAGCACCTGATCAGGCCATTTTCGTTGCAAGCCAAGCAACTCACGAACCCTCCGTCGTCCGTGTAGAATTTGCGGCTTCCATGACACTGATCGCAGAGCACAAATCGATATCCATTGCATTCTTCGCAAACTCCAGGCTTGGCCATCGGGAATCCTTCGAGGTATTTCTTCAATTCACCGGCTTCGTGAAGCTCCCGGATCTCATCGGCCCCACCAAAATACCTACCTCCAATGAAAACCCTAGGCAACGTGAGCTTCCTGCAGCCCAAGATCTGCTGCAACTCTTCCAGGAACCTGGAGTCCATGGACAGATCCCTCTCGTCGATGGAGAGGCGAAAGCCTCTTAAGATGGATCTCACGTCTCGGCAGTCTTCGAAGGTCCTCCGGATGACGCGGAGGCTTGTGAAATAGACGACGATGCGCTTATCAGCACCGGGGAGATGGATGGATGACTGCCGTGGAAGGTGTTGTACGTTGGCTTCGGGAGGAGAAGAAGGCGGAAGAGAAGAAGAAGAAGGAGGAGGAGGATGGACGGACCGAGAGGGACGGGAAGCCCAGGCAAGAATGACAGAGGTAGAGACGTAGACGCGGTGGAAGATGGAGTTCTTCTTTCGACGGTTGTGCTCAGCTTCTTCTTTGCAGAGGGTTTGGATATCTTTGAAGCTTGAGCAGGAGAAATTGGATTTGGATGCCGTATGAATTCGAGATGGTGATCTTTTCCATGGAGGCCACATAAGGGGTAGAGAATCAGAAAAGAGAGAGAGAGAAAAAAAAAAAAAAGAAGAGGAATCAAAAGGGGAGGGGGGAGGAAGAGAATGAGGTAAAAGAGAGGTGAAAATGGCGAAGGATTGTTGTTTTGTATGTTTTCCTTGTTTTGTGGGATTGCTTAAGGCGAATGGCGAATGTTTTGGGGGGCTGGGGAGGAACTACAAAAGCGGGAGTTGCAGGCTTTTCATTTTTTGAGAAGAGGGTTGCCCTTTTTTTAGCAAGGTCTTCAGAGAGAGAGAGAGAGAGAGAGAGGGGAATTACAGACATGACTTAGGTCAGAGAGAGAGAAAGAGAGCGGGAAGATTAATAGATAATGGTGTTGTGTTAAGCAAGTGAGATTTTTTTTATCATATGGACCAGGTCAAGCTTGAATCTTCTGGTTTTCTTAAATCACTGATACTAGCGTTTAGCCAATGGCTATGATTTACCGCCTGCACATATAAAGGGTCAGGATCTCCCACATTCATTCCACCAACTGGGTCAAAGGTCGGTCAATTCGTTCATTAATTAATGCGAATGCGATTAATCCATACTAATTTTTAACGGTAAATTATAATTTAGGCTATGTTTGGTTTGAAGGAAAAGGTAGGGAGAGGAAGGGAAAGACAAGAAAATTAATACAAGGTTTGTAAAGGTTTTTTTACCTTTTTCTTCATTTTCCTACATTTTCCTTCAAACCAAACATAGCTAGCTTATAGCCCTCTAATTTTGTCCCTATACAGTATGATTTTAAAAAATGACCCGGAAACGGAGTCGTTCTAGCCACTGGTTTCTAGGTCAATGATTCGATAGTTCAGTTTAAATGGATGGCCTGTTCTAACAAAAAAATAAAAAAATGGCCAAAACTGTTGAACGGGTTAACAGGTCAATAGTTTGACTATTTGGGTCAATGGGTTGTTAAATGATTTAACGGTTTTTGGTCAAGGACCGGGTTTGAGGTAAAACGGAACCGATTATTTGAATGGTTTCCAAGACAAATGGTCCGACCATCTAGGTCAACGATAGTTCGAAAACCATGCTCCACGATGATATTTTCTTTTTATTTCCTAAATAAATAATTTCATTTATCAACAACAAATCAGTACAAACTTTTGGGTTCGATTTCAATTAGGCTATTAATTAATTGAACTTTAAAGTTTGGTTCAAAAGTTTATAAATCTATTTGGGTTAACATATATAGTAAAATGTATATATAGTATGTTTGGGTTAACATACTATAGAATATATATATACATATATATATATATATATAAGAATATATTATATATTTATAGAATACAAAAAAATATCTTCATTTTCGAACCAAACTAGAAAGCTCATCTAATATTTAATCAAACCAACCTCAAACTAGAAAAATATAGTTTAAATTGAATCCTAACTCAAACTCAAACATAATAGTATTTTAGTTAAATTGAGTCAAAACATAGAGAAGTTCAACTCAAGTAGACTCCGTTACACCCCTATCATTGTTTCGAAAAGCTTAAACCTTGAGGAGTGAGGCATATGCTTTGAGGCAAGGCATTAAGATTTTTCCTCAAGGCTTAAGCCTCACAACTTTGTTATGAGACTTAAGCCTTTATAAGAATCAATGTTTTAAAAGGCTAAATGCGTACTTGAGGTGTAATGGACCAAAGCCTTAGGGCATTATGAGGAGTAAGCCTCAAATTTAAGGAAAAAAAATTAATTAAAGTTTATAACTGATAAAAATAGCATATAATACACCAAATTAGAATGATGGAAGCACAAATATCCATAAAATAGAAGTTTACAAGAAATAAGATTTTAAATTTTAAGCATCCAATAAAATAATAATTAATCATCTAACAATTATAAGCATTTTACATTTTATGTTTCAAAATGTGATGAAGGGTTTTTTGGCAGCACCTTGTTGTTCGGACTACTTTTACGTGGCTGATGACTTAGAGGCCGAAGTAGAGGATTTTTGCTGGATGAGGAATTGGATGCCGAGCTGGCTAGGCTGAACTGGGGGTAGATTGTGTGTCGAGCTGGGTTGATTGTTGAGCTAGGTAGCTCTTCAGCTATGAGCTTCTAGATCACGAACCATCAAAATGCAATCTTATGAAATTATTCATATGAAGAATCATCTATATAATGGACATTAGGTTTATAGCCATCCAACAGTTGGGAAGAAAAGAAATGACTTAATTGATTTGATCTATGCAAAAAAAAAAATCAATACAAATAAATCATTAAGAAAAGAAATGAGAAAAACAATAAACTTAAGGGTGTTAAATTAGAACATTAAGAAACAAAATCTTACTTGTTTTATCCAAGAAAGACTAATAACTTGATTAGCCCTTTCCTATATATAGTTTGAACTATAAAAAATATAAAATATGTATTTTTTGCATGAAATCACTAAATAATGTTGATACTTGAGACTTACACATTTTTATATCTCATGTTATGCTTTGCGCCTTGAAACTTGAGGCTTATGCCTCATTCCGATAAAGGATTAAGCCTCAAATTAAAATTGTATGGCTTAAGCCTTGAAGCAAAATCTGTATGACTTGTCTCATGGCATACTCTTTGAACCTCAAAGCTTAACCTTTTTAAAACAATGATCAGAATCATGAAGCTTGAGACTTACACCTTGCAACGCCGTGAGGCTCATGTCTCACATTTTTTGGCCATTATTCCTCAACTACTCCTTTAGCCTTCTAAAACCTTGACCCCTATGTTCATATATGTTGTTGGACCTTGATAATGATACTAATCGGTAGATGTTATACATTTTCTTGATACATCACTTAAATGGCCCACACACATTGATTTAATGGCATTTGGGGGTGGGGCATTTTTGGATGCAGCTTTGTCATTTTGAGCTGGGCTCCACGTGAAAACGTCTGAAACCATGTTTGGTGAAAGAAAGCCCGAAAAACCAACACGGGCATTCCAAATGCTAAAATCATGACTGTAACATGAAACTACTCCGAATATCTTATTCAGTTATTTGGAACACGGGTTATTCAATTAAATATAAAAGCCATCCCAAATAGGGCCTTAAATGTGGAAGGTTTTTATACAGTGGCTTTTGGCTTTGTAAGGTGGACTCCACATAGAAAGCCTATAAACCATGTTTCGTGAGAAATTAAAAAAGTCCAAATATGCTTTCATTTAACCAAAAAAATTGACTTATTGGTGAAATTGATTTTAATAGTTCCTGCAAAGTGATTTAGTAAAAAGCAACCCAATCAAAGCTGAAGCCCGGGCCCTTACGTATAGATGCAGCTTTTGTCAAATTGGTTGAATTCTGATTAATCTATTGCCGTATAAGACTAACTTAGTGGCTTTGGTTTTTGAAATAATTTGGTACATGGATGGTCTAAATTGGTTGAATATTACTTGGATGGTTGAAATTAATTCATTGATCATTGCCTCTTAGGAGACCACCTTGATACTTTGAATCAATTAATCTTGGCCATCCAAGCAATGCACCAATATTTCAGCTAATATCAGCCATTAATTAAATCAACAAAGTTTGTAAAAAAATCTATAGCAACTAAAAAGAGATAGAAAATATTTCAAACATCTAGACCAACAAAAATACAAAATGACCGCATGGGATTAAGGGAGAATGACGGTTCAGTCCAGGTTTAGAATTTATAGGCTCAAAGTACTGGTGCCAGCTCGGAATTGATGTCAATTCATGGGTAGACATTTATGTACAGAGTGTGGATTGTTGACATTTTGAATGTTTATAGTTCTTCAGTGGAAATCAGAAATCTGCATTAGGCCTGTCCATAATTTTTGGTGGGGTTAATTGATTAATCTCTTTAATCCAAATTATGTTTCAAGATTTCAATTGGTTGAGCTCATGGTACCAAAATATTGTTACATTATTTGGATGGTTGAGATTAGTACATTAATCTCAAGAGAGCATTTTGATGACTTGAAGGCTTATATATTTGGAGTAACCTTGCTACGTAATATACTACTTTCATGGCTTGAATTACTTCAAACTTAGGTTTCMCCCCCCCCCCCCAAAAAAAAAGGGAAAATTCCTCAACAGTGGTTGTGTTAAGTTAGTCCCCAAACTTTAAAATGTGTTTCTATAAAATCATGAATTTTTAAATTGTGTCTAAAATGACAAAATTGCCCTTTATAGTATTTTTCTGACCATTTTATCCATTTCATCTGAACGTTAAAAGAAAAAAAGGGGAAGAAGGGTTATGAAACCAGACTCCAATCAATTATTGAAGCTTCTGCTCCCCGGACGTGCAAAAGAAGACTGCAAGAACTCAACATTAACAAACGTGATGATTCTCTGCCACAATCACCACATCTGAAGTGCTACCATTTCAAGTTGCTCAACTCTTCAATTGATTTACGTGAAAATGGTAGATAAAGAAACTTAGATGACACCTGATGGGTATTTTTGTCATTTCACTTATCTGTTAATGCCTGTTAATTGATAGGACCTATCAGACACAATTTGAAAGTTAAGGATACTATAGAGATACGTTTTAAAGTTCGGAGACCGGTTTGACACAACCCCTAAAATACAAAGTACTGATTATGAATTTTCCCAAAAGAAAATAATTACTTAAAACCTAAAGATTAGTCGACTAATATCGGATCATGGGTTCAATAGTCTAAAGCTTTAGGCCTAATTTGTTTGGAATAACTTTTATTTAACATGATGTAAAATTATAGGAGTGCAAATAATTTCATTCAGATTTTGATTAAATTTTGTTTCAGATTTTGACTTATTTTATATGTTTGCATTGCATTCAAAGTAAAATAAAATCTGAACAAGCAAAAATAGATCGAAATTGCATTTTTCTCACATGTACTTTTATCAGTTTCATGCATTTGTATTAGTACAAATTAAAATTAAATTGCATTGCAAACAGCCTAGTTACAAAATCAGAAATAAAATTATCTCTTCCAACGAAAAAACAAGGTAAAGAGAAAAATTATATTTTAAAGTGAAAAAAAAGCCATATATCAGAGTGTTAGAGTTTGAGAAATTTATATGGCAAAGATGGGTATATGTTGTAAACTTCTCTTGCACTCTTGCACAACAGTGGCGGGAAAGGAATGTTTGTTATGGAATGAAAAATATAAAGGATTAAATTTCACAAAAAGTAATATTAAGAGACAGGTGTCATATTCCAAACTATAGGGGGTTCTTTGTAATTTAAATCAAAATTCCCGTAGACAAGTAGAGAAAGATTAGCCTGACCCGGAAAATAAAAAAATGTATCCATATTTGACCAGATGGATTGAA